ACCTATGTATATATATATACACATACACACACATAAGAATTGTGGACTACTCGGTCATTTACATGGGAGCCCGAAAGCTTCAGTTCAAGCGAAAACTGGAACCGCTTTGCATCTCGCTAGGCAGAAGTTGCTGTACTTGGCTTGCGTACATGATGCTGTGCACATCATCGATTGTCAGGTTGCCTTCTAGCACTGTATCCTGTATGCGCCATCCTTTTGAATTCGGCTCGGGCTTGAGCAGTATTCAGGCGTGCGTTCATAAAGTTTCACGTGTACCCCTCTGCAGCATTAAGGTGTTTCTAGGATGGTTGTCTCTTCTCCGGTTGCAGCTCACCTGTTATAGTCTCCTCGGTCGCTTTTGAGTGTTCTGCAAGCGGGATGTGGAGGAGTCAACATGAGTTACAGAGTCAACACATGTGCAAAGCTGACACAGAATGCAGAGACAGACCGAGAGAGAGAGAGAGAGAGAGAGAGATGACAACTGCAGACCTGTCGTGTAAGGACGGTGTGGCTTTTCACTTCCGGGCCGAGTCGAATCTGCTTCTGTCACCTGCCGGGATCTTTAGACTCTGCTTCTGCAGGCCAACTGCAGATGAAGAATGCGAAACTGCAACTGCCTTCCGAGCATCTGTTGGGCTCATGACAGCATCCGGTCCCTTCCAGCAGAGTTTCTCCTGTATCGTTGGGAGCTCTTGCGAGCTGGAGCTGTCAGGCATCGATCTGCAGGAAGGTGATGCACTGCTGGTGGCTGAGGGTACTTGTGATAGAGCCGCCGGCAAGATCAGCAGTTTCATGTCCTTGAATCAGCCGTTTTACCTCCAAAAAAAGGAGGAGACGCTGCAACTGTTGATTGGGTACCTGCCGGAATGGACTGTCCCTGCAACTTACGGACTCTGCTGGTGCCCACAACAGCGTGTTTGCGAGCTGGCTTCATCATTTCGAGCCCCAGCTGGTCGCTTGCAGATTGATTGCCCAGAAGGTGGGGCTTCTCCAAATTGGAGTTACGATTTCGCTTTCCGGTTCGCTTTTGCGCAAGTTAAGGAGCACCAATGTAGAGAAGTGTCGAGGTACTTTCTTTACATCCTTGCGATGTGTTCCATGTGGTCGTGGCTTCTATTGTCCTGGAGGTGGTCCAGGGTCCGCAACAAGATTTCCTTGCCCCGAGCATGAGACCACGCGGCAACGAAGTGCCTCTGCGCCTTCAGATTGCGAGTGTGTGGCTGGCTACTTCATGGACTCCGGAGGTTGCGCAACCTGTGACAGAGGATACTACAAGGCTGATGTGGGCAATGCCTTGGCCTGTACTAGTTGTCCGCAGAATCTGACGACTCTTTTCAGTGGCTCCGTGTCCAGTGCATCGTGCATTTCTCCTGCTACAGATGAGGAGGGAGGCTCTAGTGTAGTGGACCTGGACGAAGCAGGCATCAGCAATGCCTCAGAAGTAGCAACCATGACTTTCAATATATCTCTTGGCAAAGACTGGATCGATCCGGATATCAGGCGTGAGCTGATTGCTGGCCTGCGCGGAGCCATTACAGACTCTACGAGGATGGATCCTAGCGCCGTGCAGATCATGCTACCTTGGGCAGATGCAGCCGGCCGCAGGTTGTCAGATTCACCTTCAGTTGTGATCATGCTGAAATTTTCCTCGAAAGCAGAGGCCAGCCGCTTTGCACAGGAGGCGGATTTGAGTGTGCTACTGAGTGACATGAACGATGCTGTCCGGCTAAACGACGACTTGCCCGACTTCATCATCGAGGCAACATCAGCACCCGAGGTGTCCTCTGTGACAATCTCCTGCCCAGAGTTTTCAGCCAAGCCTCCGGGTGTCCCGATTTTAAGTGCAAGCGATTGCCTCTGCTTGCCGGGCTACGGCTTCGACGTGCAGATTGGGACATGTGGAGTTTGTTCCCAGGGTGAGTATAAATCTGCACTGGCAGATACAGAATGCGACAAGTGTGAGACTCCGAAATCGACTGTTCAGCGTGGTGCCATTTCGGTCCAGGCGTGCGTCTGCGCGGCAGGCTTGTACGACCATGAGGGGGACTGCCGCAGTTGCGAGATCGGTTTTTACTGCCACGGCTCGGGCATCGCACTTCCATGTCCAGCAAACTCAACGACGATCTCTGAAGGATCGCGGTCTATGTCAGAGTGTCTCTGTGAGGCCGGATATGAGGCTGACCGTGATGCAGAACGGTGTGAGCCATGCCCGTCAGGACGGTACAAGCCCAGCAAAGGCAACGAAGTCTGCTTCCTGACGTGCCCCGCGAACGCAGACAGTAGTCCAGGCTCCACGGATGTGGACGATTGCTACTGTTTGCCCGGGCACGTGGCAGAGACGGACAGCAAAGGCCAGCTATATCGCTGTGCTTCTTGCGCACTTTACAGTGGCTTGGAGTGCCCAGGAGGCTTCGATGCGGGCACAAGGAATCACACCCAGGCGAGGGCCATTGCCGGCTGGTTCCAAACTGGCAGGACGCTGGCTGTCCAATGCCACGTTGTCTTGCCCAACGGAGACGGCGCCTGTACTGGCGGCTCTTCGCAGTGCCGGCATGATCCAAGTCTTGTAGGTTGTAGTAAACTTTTCGGAAATCAATGCGCGGAGGGCTCTTCTGGAATGATGTGTGGGGAGTGCCCGGAGGGCTGGGGCAGAGGCTCTCTCTTGGACTACTGCCATCCTTGCTCTCCGGGTGAGGGTGCAGGCGGCGCAGGGTTCCTCGCTGGCTCGATCCTGGCAGACCTCTCGCGAATCACTGCCTGGAACTTCGCGCTTACTGCTCTGGCAGCCAAGGGGGCCGGCAGCTCACTGAAGCTTCATACCTGCATGATACGCATGGTCCAGGCCTGGATTGGAGCCTGCCAGATCTTGCTTACCTTTAATCTGGATCGGTTGCAGCCTTTCTCGTGGTCCCAGGAAGAAGGAGAGTGCGGTAAAATTCTACGATTCGCGTGGCCTCAAGCAGTGACCGATGCCATGCGTGGAGCTTTTTCTGCAATAGCAGTGGTTCCAGTGGCCACTGTCGACTTTGCGGCCGAGTGCCAATCCGAGACCTGGTCGAGCAACAAGGGCACGAAACGGAGCGCACCGGTGTTGTACTACCTGTGCTTGCCTGTGCTGACTCTTCTCGGCACGCTTTCTCTGTCGGCACTTGTGGTCTACGTTGTGCTGCCGCTGGCAAAGATGTTCGGTCTCCATTTCAATGATGCTCGGCGGCATTGGGGGACTGAAACCCCGGCAGTGATGACCAAAGCAATCCAGAGCAAATGTTACGCGTAGTGAGTGCAGAGAATGACCGAGGATTTGGACCGCAAGGAGGCCAAGCGCAAGGCAGCCCTAAAAGCAGTGCGAGGTCATCTGACACTGGCCACCACGGCTTCAAATGCCCAGGACCCGGCACCGGCACCGAAGCTCAGAGTTTTCCTGTTTTGGTCTCGTTTAGACCTCTTTCGGCCTTGCAAAGTTCAGGACGCTACGGAGAGCCCTCCAACCATGGGAGAAGGTACCGTGCCAAAGGCCTCAGACACCCTGGAAGAGCTCGCGCAGGGAACGTTGGATGAGGCGCGGCAATGTGGTGGCTTATCTTTTTTTTTCTTTTTTTTTGTTCGGCGGGTTTCGGCAAGGTGAACTGGGACGAAGTCTCAGACGCCGCTCTGGCTGGCGGCATTCCAGATGATGAGCTTCTCGCCATTGCCGACCGCTCAGCATCCCTTCCGATGCCTATACTGTATGGGATCCCGATGAGTAATTACGCATATCCTACATATTGAGACACCGGGCTTGCAACCGCCTGAGGCATCGGATGGCTTCATCTCCGAGACAGCCCTACGCCGACTGGTGCCTGTCTCAACGTCATTGTCAATTGTGTGTGTTCGTCTAGGTGCTTCTGCTTGAAAAGCTTCTTTTGCCATGGCTTTTGCATGTGCGTGTATCTGTGGGTTTTTGCCTGCCTGTGACGCCGGTGTGCAGGCCGTCGTCCGTAGGTTTGGTCTTCTTGTCTTAGAGATCTTCAGCTCGGCTTTGAAGCCGAAGTCCTCGGGGAATACTTCGCTTCTTGTTTTCTCGCCGTCTCCGGCGCGTTGCCCTGCAACTGCAGCCACTCCCGCTACGCCGCCATGCCTTCGTTTAGAGCTGTCTGCCGTAGCTGTGTCTCGCCGAGGTGCTTGGTGCCCTGGCGTGGGAGATGCGAGGACGGACCCACGCCCTTGACTGCCCGTTCTGTTCCGTACCCGCGCAGCAGGCCAAGCTTGTAACGGCCACAGATTTGGGCGACAGGCTCATGTTCGTCTCTACAACGGATATAACCATGTGCTTGACCCGTCGTCAGCCTTCGTTTCAGAGTTTGCAGCGGAGGAGAGCTTGAAGCAGAAGCTGAACGCAAAGGCTTCCCAAAGGCTCATAGGGTTCAGCGCACGTGTCGTCGTGTTCTTGCTCTGGAGTCTGAAACTTTAAGTTTAAGGGAAGAGACAAACACACTAAGCATGACAGAGATTCGCATGTGTTTGGGCCTGCTCGTTGGGTTGCCGTGTTCGCTGTCGATGAAGTTTTCATAGGCACTGTCTCCCGTCCATGAATGCATAGCAGGAAGAGATGTGAAATCTTATTCAACAGCACGCTCTCGCACGCGAGAAGACAATCGGGAATGGGGCTGTCCATAGTGAGTGGAAGCAAGCAGCATGACAAAGTGGCAAGAGCCAGCGGCAGCCTCAAACTGTTGAACGACGACGCGTCAAGGCATGGACAGCTGGATCCGGTAACAAGCCTTCTGCCCTTTGCCCTGCAAACGTGACAGGATAACGACACAAGGTGTGACCACGTGAAATGTTTTGTGCGTCCAGCAACCTGAACTACAGAGAGCTGCAATGTTTGAGGAGTTGAGGCACTCCTGACAGATGCCCTTGCCCTTGTAACTTTGCCACCACAAGCATCTAACGCCTGTGACCTCGGCAGCAGGCGGACTTTGTCGTGGAGGTGGCCCGCGCCGCAGAGTCCGTCGGAGAGCTGGTCGACCTGCAAGGTGAAAGGAGGCGTTTGCTGCTCCAGCGCGCCTGCCGTCATCTGCGGCTAAGGGAGTCGGAGCTCGTGGCAGAGGTCCAAGGCAGCGCGGCAAGGATGGACCTCGCCCTCTTCACATCCTGGCCTAGACCTATGGCGCTGCTGAAGCAAAGCGTTCCGGTGATATGGCTCACACTGCTTGCCTTGTGGCCGGACCTGATGTCCAATTTCTTGCAGATGGTTCGATGCATCTCGGTTCGCGAAGATGGGCAGGAGTCGGCGGTGACGGTGCAGCGGCTGCATGCGCATCCCGACGTGGTGTGCTGGCAAGAGGAGCACTGGACACTCTTCGCCATTGGCGTCAGTGGCCTGGTGCTATGGTGCTTCGGGATCCCGCTTGCCTTGTTCCTTCGAATTTGGGCGCTGACCGATCGCCAAGAGCCAGAGAACCGCCGCCTTTTCGGCTATTTCATTGAAGGCTTAGAGCCCAGGTTTTGGCGCCTTGCCCTGAAACAGTTATTATGAGATGTTGTGAGCACTTCCCTCATGCAATTTTCATGTACAGCTCAAGGGTGACAGAACCACCAAGGTATTGGGAGTTGGTAGTAAAGCGGCTTGACATCGGCCTTATGTTGCTGATCGCGTCCACATCCGTTACCACCGACGACAAGGCAAAACTATTGCTCTTTGCTTTAAACTCGGGCATACAACTGGCCGTCACGGCTTGGCTGAAGCCATATTCGAACTCGCAAGCAGAAATTTTGGATTTCTTGGAGTGCCTGCTGCTCGGTGCGCGCTTCGTGCTGTTCACCACTGTGGCGGTGCTGCTGATATTTTTTCCACCCACGGAGAGCATCTGGATTTGGTCGGCCACTTGACTCGAAAACTGTATCCATGTATTGGTGGGCTTCCCGGTGTCACTCGAATGACGTTGTCGACCACCCAGGTTTCGTTGCTGGTGATGCTGGTCTCAGTGATCGTGTATGCGGTGCTTCACATCGTAGGTCAGACCCTGCGCAATGCTGCTGGCCAGCTCAGTAGCAAGCCCAAGATGGGCAAGGACGGGTTCTCGTTACTTGTTACTCGTTGATGACCAGCTCGGGTTCCATCCAACCTGACGGGTTCTGATGCACCCACGACAGCAACTCCAGTGGGCACGTTTTTCGCGGTGGGGCTGATGTGCAGCATGGATTCATGCTGCTTGGCAACGAGCTCTGCAGGAGCGGAAGATCGTGCTTTGTCATTCGCTGGCCTCTCGAAGCGGATTCATCAAGTCCGACAGCGCCGTGGCTGATTCTGTTTCTGTATTGTAGAAGTCTTGTCTTCAGCATCAAGTGTCCGAGCTGTCGTTGTAATGACATGCTGCTTTGGCCAATTCACCGTGGTTGGCCACAAAGTCCATAGAAGTTCATTCGCATGCGCGTGTCAGCCTGCATGCAGAGTATAGGTACAGCACTCGCCTCTACTGGTGCCGAAGAGGGCAATTTATGGACTAAGGTCCAGGTTTTCTCGCGAAGCTGAAGCAGAGCGGTGTGGCCGTTTTGTTGCCCTTCTTCCAGCCGGAGTCACACCTGGCCTTCGACTGGTCCATAACCTCGCAGAGTCCCAACATCATCACGCGGAAGAGCCAGATCCAGGTACCTGGGTTTTAGGGCTTCTAGGATCCTGAAATGGCTCAAGATCTCGGCTCGAGTGTTGGGTGACTCTCCCCCCGCAGGTTTCCTTGAAGGGGGAAGTAACGGGTTTGGGGTCCGCTCTTCTCTCACTCCTACCTGTGTCCGAGGGACAGGTCTGTGAGAGGTGAGGGCGCTCGTTTTCGGCGGTGGACAGTAGAGAGAGAGAGAGAGAGAGAGGATGAGCGAGAAGATGACCGACTCTGGGAAACCGGGAAAAGACAGACAACTCAATCCTTACGAGGTGGCTGCCATCAAAGAACGTCTAGGGTATGATCTCAGGGAACGTCCAGGCATTCACCCGTATTCCCATCCGGGGAAGATGAGTGAAGCTCCCCCCCCGACTTCAACCCCGCTCCCTGCTGTGAGTAGTCATACGAGTATCCTCGAAACTCCCCCCAATCGTGGCAGAACTCGCGAGTCCCCAAAACACCGAACCTCTGCTCAACAACACAGAAGGCAACAATCCCGTGAAACCCCTGAGCCCCGTGATAAGCGCTCTCCCGATGTTCCTGCTCCGGACCTCAAGAAAATTAAGCGGGAGATGGAGAGTGCAGCTGACGCGGAGATGCCGGAATTTGGAGCCCCAACGATCAGGCACGAGCCAGGACAGGGGAGCGCTGAGAGTTTCCTTGTGGGCGACTTCAGGAATTCAGACGGGTCCACACCCCTGCCTGCTGTTCGGAATTCGGGTGCATGTCAGGCCCCTCGGGTTTCGAATTTGGATGCTGGTTGTGCTTTGAATTCGGCTGCAAGTCCTGTTTCGAATTTAATTGCAGGGATGAATTCAGAGGATGCAAGCCGCCCTTCTCGTATGCCCCCCGCTCCTAAGCGTGAGTCTGTCCCTAACCCTACTGCAACCTTTGATCTGACCATTGATGATGATGATGCCGATCTTGAGGGCGATGGTGATGATCGCACAACGAAGGACAGCCAACACAGTGATAAGTCACCTGCTGGGCCCCCCCCCCTTCCTTCCGATGAGCTCGACTCAGCCAACGCTGAACGGCCCCGCCCTGTGCGCCCTTCTCCACAGCCTGCTGCTGGAGTTGGTGTGTACCCACTTCCCGTTGAGGCCCCTCCATGGATTCATGATTTGCATGCTGGGATTATGGGCCTTCACAACAAGGTTGATTTGTCCAGGTCCGAAATGGCTCATTTCGGGGCTGAACTCCAACAGCAGGGGGTTAGGGTTTCTTGTCTTGAAAGTGTTTCTCACGACCATACTCAACAGCTCCAGCAGGCCCAGCAGCAGATTCTTCAGCTCGAAAGCAGGCTCAAGGAGCTGGACAAGATTCAAGGGCTTGAGAAACGCATTACTGACCTCGAAGCCTCTAGAAGATCCCTCACCCCTCCTCGCTCCCTTCGCGGCGGTGATCAGTCTCCCCGCTCCCCTCGAAGTAGCGTTGGTAGCAGGGAGGACTCCAGCAGTGATCTTGATATCATTGTTGGGGGCTGGGTTGATGCAAAAAGAGCCGACGCTCAACAGGAGGTGACCAATATGTTTAGTGCCATTCAAATGACATCCGCTGTGAAGGAACTCTGGGCGCCTTATAGTCGCACCAACTTTATCAAAGTGCAGCTTGCGTTTCCTGATGAGCAGGCACACATCAGTGTGCGACGACTGTTCCAATGGCGTGTCATTGAGAAACTCAAAGTCATGAAATTCACAAGTGGCGTTCAGGGCTCGACTGGGAATAAAATTTGGGCGACCAAATCCAAAAGCCCAGAGGAGCGTGCTAGAGTTCGTGCACTGGTAGTGACAAAGGAGTTTCTTAAGGCCCTCCCCGGTAAGGATGGAGCTCCTCCGATCCCCGAGAATGACATTGAAATTGTATGGAACGGGCGACTGTTCGTGCACCAACATCAATTTTTGGGCTGCATGGATCGTGATGGCGAGCCTTCTTCGGAAGATCTTATCCTTTCCGATTCGCGCGGTAATCACATGCCGTGGTTTGTGAAAGCTTCGGTTTTCGAGGCTGCCACGGGGTATCCTGGCTCAGAGCTCGCTGAACTCTGGGAAAAGTACTGCCCTAGCAACAATTGACTCCCAAAGAAAGCCGGGCCCCACTCCCCTTTTTATGCTGCTAGCTGGAACCTTCAGGGCAAATCGCTTGAGGAGGTTGCCACTGCCTGGCCTGTTCTTGGGTTAGAGGGCTCGGACTTTTTGGGGCTTCAGGAAGTTGGTGGTCTCGGTGACATCACAAAGAAGTGGGACACCCGCACTGCTGATCTAGATGAGAATTGGACGTTTTATTGCATGAATCCCCCCCTTGCGTTTCGAGGGGTTGCTGTTGGTATGCCCACGTCTCGCATTTCCACCGTCGAGAAGGTTATTCCGCTTGACGTTGGTATCTGCGTGATTCTGAAGCTTCACGGATACCGACAGTTTTTAATTAGCGCGCATCTCCCCCACAAACAACGAAGTGACTGTCTCTCCGTCTGGCAGGGGTTTCTTAGTCAGCTTGATGATATCTTTCGCACTCGTAGGTACTTCGATGTCCTTACCTTTGCGATTGATACTAACTACGAACTTGGGGCCATTGAAAGTCGTAGTGCCGCAGCCAGCCCCGATGAGAGGGAAGTGTTTGCGACTCTGCTGCTCAGAAATTTTGGCCTTGTCCATACTCGCCCTGCGGTCTACACTTGGTGTAACACGCGTGGATCCGAGTCTAAAATCGATTACATCCTCCTCTCCTCCCCCCACAGTCAGTTTTCTGAGCAGCAAGTACATGCAGATTCCAATTTCCTCCTCGGGTCCGATCATCGGGCCGTTTCCGCCTGTTTCGAGCGCTTGGCCCCGCCCTCCTCTTACCGCCCGAAGCGTAGGGGAAACAAGTGTGGCAAATGGCTGACTGACCCCGCTAAGGTTTTCTCGAAGTCCCAAGCTTTATGCCAGACGCTCGATCTCTCAGGGAGAGACTTGTCCTCAGCCGATCTTGAGTGCCTGGCTTCCAAGACCTCGTATCGCCCACCTAGCCTTCGGTATAAAGACCCCCCGGAGATTCTCGAGAAGATACGCCAGCGGCGTCTTTTGTCGGGCAGAGAGGCCAGGGATCTTGGTAAGGAGATTGTTCGACTCCGTGCAGTTGCTAAGAACCTGTGGCTGACCAAGATCCTTGACCGAAGTGCGAACGGTGATTTTAAAGCCATTTCTTATTTCCGGCGCCGCCAAGCTGTCCTCTCTTCACATCAGAATTATCTTGTCTCCGCCGGAGGTAAGGATCAGGCCATTTCCGATCTTAAAAAGCACTTCCGTCTTAAGTGGTGCGAGCCGAACCTCTCGTCTGTCTCTGTATTGGACGTTTTGCACTCTCTGCCACGGCCTCTGTCAAGGCCTCCGCTCATTACTGAGGAAGAGGTTTGTGAGGTTCTTGCCACGTGCAAAACCGGTAAAAGTTGTGGGGATGATGGGATCTCCTATGAATTCCTGCAACTTTTCATGCAAACTGAATGCCGTGTGCATTTTGTTGAGTGGTTCAACTCTGTCCTCTTTCAGACTTCTCCTATTCCTCCCACCTGGCTCTCGTCCAAACTCACTCTACTTCCTAAGGTCCCCCAGCCCTCATGCCCCTCTGACCTCCGTCCAATTGTTCTCTCTTCTACCCCCGGGAAACTCTTTACTAAAATTCTTCTCTATCGTCTTCGCCGTATTTTTCCGGCCCCAGTAGCTAATCAGCTGTGTGGCATTCCTGGCTCCCAAACTTTAGACGGTTCCTGTTGTCTTCAGCATCTTACTCATCTAAGTCAGGAGTTTGGGTTGCCTCTCATAGCCGTGAAGTTGGACATTACATCAGCTTTTGATACCTTGTCCCACATCGCCGTTGCCCGTTTTCTTCAACACTGTGGTCCCTCTCTTGAATCTCATGTTCTCCTCTCTATCATCGCTGCAACCCGTGTCAATGTTTCCATTTCGGATGCTTCTTGGGCTCAGCCACTTCAGAGGGGCGTTCTCCAGGGGTCCTCTTACTCCGCCGAGCTCTTCGCCCGGACCTTGGACTATTATCTCGGAGCTCTGGTAGACAAGTGGTCTCTTTCCGAAAGCACATGGATTCAGGGCGACGACGCCAATCACTGCTTCAGGAAGATTTTCACTCTCTTATATGCAGACGATTTAATTCTCCTAGCAACCTCGCATGCACAGGCCACACGTATGCTTCAGGATGTCATCGCTACATTTGGGGCCATTGGGTTGCAGCTTTCGCTCAAAAAGTGTAAATTTATCTGCTCGCCCTCTCTTCCCCGCCGGTCCTTGTATGCGCAATGCACTCCCCTTCCTTGTGTGTCGTCTTTCAAATTTCTTGGGGTCCTCATTGGCTTTAATCTGCCCTGTCAGACTGTCCTAAGCGCTCGGCTGAACAAAGCCACAAACGCTTTCTGGGGCTACTATAAGATACTCCGTCGCACAACGGCCCCCGTCAAGAAACGTTTGGATCTCTTTAACACCTTCATCACCAGCCGATGGCGCTGGATGTCCCCGGCTGTACGCCCCCTCAAAGGAATCGCATCCATGCTCAAGACCTTGCACACGAGCTTTTTGTGTTCCATACTTGCTCTCCCTCCTGATCCTTTCATGACGGGAGTCGAAAACTGGATTGTCAGGCGCCGTGCCAGCCGAATGGCTGCGCAAGCCCTGCAACATGCTTCCTGGGAGGGAATTCATGCCCTCGCCTTTGCCTCGTATTGGGGTCACGTCGCTAGGATTGTCCTGTATCGTCAGTCTCCCATTTCGGTTGTTATTAGGATTCGTGACTCTCGTTGGCGATCACTTGCATGTGTCAATACGAAGCGTAGGCGAGGGGCCTGGCCTGACAGCTGCCGTTTGCTACAGCTGCTGTGGACTCGCTTCCGCCCCCTTGGGGCTGCCCCTTTCTGGGATGACGCGGCCACGGACCGTAAACTTTGGCAGTCTTTTGTTGCCGATTGGCTTGCAGATCGTAAGCTCCAGCCCCTGCAGTATTACCCCGACCTGCATCGCGTGGATCTCCATGGCCGCTGCCTCCTTCAGATCGGGTCGTCTTTTCGCTTACTGCCCATGAGACA